TGTATCAGTGGTGACAATGAAAGACAAAGACGGGTCAACAATCTTAAGGACAGGGTAGTGAGTCAGGGCATACTTCAATTTCCGAAAGGAAGACTCACAATCCTTGTCCCACAACCAAATAGTTTCTTTCCTTAACAATCTTCGCATTGGTGCAGCAATCAATGAGAAGTTCCTAACAAACTTCCTGTAGTAGCTGGCTAAACCAAGGAAAGATCGGAATTCAGTTATAGACTTAGGTTGTGGCCAATCTCTAATTGCTGAAATCTTTTTCTCTTTTGGCCTTAAACCTTCTTCGTTCACTATATGTCCTAAGTATAACACGTCGGATTTAGCAAGCTCTGACTTTTTGGGATTGATCTTGAAGTTGCCTTCAGGCAACTTCCCTAGCACCAGACGAAGGTGCTTCTCATGATCCTCTAGTGTTTTACTGTACACTAGAATATCATCGAGATAGACAATAACAAGCTTATCCAACCATTGACGAAACAAGTAATTCATAGACCTTTGAAAAGTAGCAGGGGCATTCGTCAATCCGAAGGGCATTACCACGAACTCGTAGTGGCCATACCTGGTCCAGAAAGCGGTCTTATGCTGATCGGAGGGTTCCACCTCAATCTGGTGATACCCAGATTTCAAGTCGATCTTGCTAAAGTACCTGCAACCCTGTAACTGGTCAAGTAAGTCGTCAATGCGAGGAAGCGGTTCAACATTCTTAACAGTGACGACATTCAACCCTCTGTAGTCAATACAGAGATGCAACTCACCTTTCTTTTTGGGCACAAATAATACAAGGGTTCCCCATAAGGAGAAGAGCTAGGGCGAATCCATCCTTTCTCTGTTAAGTCCTGTAGTTGTTTTCTTAGTTCCTCAAGTTCCCTAGCAGACATGCAGTAGATAGGGCCCTTGGGGATCTTAGTGCCAGGAATAATTTCAACGGTGTGTTTTATAGCATGCGCGGTTATTCCTGTCGGTTCGTTGAATAGTTCTTTATATTCATTTAATAGTTTTTCAATTGAAGGAGGATAGGAAGTAGAAGACTCTCCTGCTCTTTTTACCAAAACCATCATTACTTCATGTTCCAACTTCTTCTTTGAAACCATTGAGCGAAAGGCTGGATAACTCATACAACAAAAGACAGACTAGAGTCAGAGTCAGACTTATGAAACAATTTGATTGGTTTCAAATTATATTGTGCGTCTCGCAATTACACAACCTTCTCTTTGAACTTAATGTCTGGGTTTGCTTCCTCGTGCCAATCTATTCCCAGAATCAAGTCAAATGGTAAGTTCTTTTCGATTAGGAAGGATACCTCATGCAAAATCTTCTTACCTTCCTTTGTTCTAAACCAACACTTGACACGATCAACATACCGCGAGACAGTGATCGTGCTTTTGTCGGCTAAAACAAACGTGATAAGTCTAGACAGGTTCTTCACCTTCATTCCGAGATGCAACTTGCGAATTGCTTTCTCGGATATGTAGGATTGCATGGATCCCGAGTCCAACAGTGCACCTACGCGTGTACGTGCGATTTCTATATCCGCGAGTAGTAGGTCACCCTTAGACTTAGCTTTCTTAGCCCACGAGCTTCGTAATGCCAGCAACTCGTTACCAAGCTCGTCAAGGGAGTCGTCCAGAGAGATAGAACATAAGACAGGTTTAGGGTGTTTCGGACGATGGGCCGAAGAAGAACCATCCTCTGCCATGCGAGTCAAAGGGTTGGAAGGGTTAGTAGGCGCCTTACCTTCATCTTTGTCCAAACCCGTAGACTCAGTAGGAGCAGATGCTACTCCTACTGGCGGCTCACTTTTGGGTTACGGATCAACGGGCACCATGCAATCACATACCCTGCAATGCCACACTTCAGGCACTGCGCGTTGTCCATTCCTTCCTGCCACGTTTCTTGTGACAGGCCCATCTTTTCCCAAGGCTTCACGGCCGCAATCTCGGGATGCTCTGGGAATGAGCGTGGATTCTTCTTGTTGACTGGCGGTCGTGGTCCTCCCCTGTTGACCACGACAGCAATGACTTCCCCCTTCCCGGAATCACTGCTGTTCGCCACACCCTCGGCCTCCAATGACCACCTTTCCACAGTTTCGTCATCGAAGACGACAAGGGTGTGGTCCTGGCGCTTTTGGCGCCAAAGTACCCGCTTTCCTGTTCCTATACCACCACCATACTTCACAACAGACGCATAAGAGTTTGTCACCTGAGAAGTCATTTGCTCTGGCTGGAGAGCCAAATCCCGAAATTGCCTATAATTGTACTTACCAGATTTAGACTCTGCCACGAGTTGTCCACGAATGGGCTCAGGCAGAGCACGGGAATAGATGTACAAAACCTGGTGGTCTTGCAGGTTCAATCCCGGAACCTGCAGCAACCGATCAACTTCCCGTGACAACGACTCAGAGGTCCAATGCTTTTGACCAATCGTGGTGAGCTGGTCAAAGGCCTTGTCGGCTGTCGTTTTGTCCAAAAATAGTTCCTTGATCTTCACAAGGAACTGTTTGAGGTTCAATGTTCCAGCCCACTCCCCGATGTCATCAAACCCTGCAGCATTAGCTTCGACCAAACCCACTCCTTAGCTTCCCCACCAATGCAAGAAGTAGAGAAAGCAAAATGGGAATCGGGTTCAACAGGGGCCGTGCTACAAGACGTTTGAATTTCTGCGATCCACAAAAGCAGATTTTCGTCTTTCTTATTACAAAACGTGAAAGGCAATTTCATTTTAACTTTTTCCTTCTTCTTTGGTTTCTCAGGTTGTACGGTGGTGACTTTACTTCCTCCGGGAGACTTCGGCGGACTCGAAGGCTCCCCTTTCTTCTCTTCCGGTTTCTTCTGTTCCGGTTTCTGAGTCTCTACAGTAAGAGACTTCATTGCGTCTCCCATTAGTTTCTCCAGCTTGTCTTCCTTCTTTGCCTCAACTTCCTCTCTCACCTGATCCTTTCCTTTGACCAGATTCGTGATTGTTCGGAGTCCTGCGGCCACATCATCGATTTGTGACTGCATCCGTTCACTATACTGATCAATCTTCATTTCCAAGTGAGCAAGGTAATTTACAAGCTGAGCCAAAGAAATTTCCTGTGCTTCCCCTTCAGTCTTAACAACAGTTTGTCTAATTTCTTGCACTTTCTGTTCTTGTTGTTCAGTCTTTTTCTTTCTTAATTTTTCTTTCCTTTTCTTCTCCTTCTCTAGTGCTTCTTCAAGTTGTCTGATGTTTTCATCCACGGTTTCTTCAGACACCTCCCTTTCTCTTTCTTCTTTCTGTTCAGCAAGCTTGGAGAGTTGATCCATGATATACTCATCAAGTGTGACGACACTTGATGAGTATATTCTGAACCTGAAGGATGTTGGTGTCCGTCACAACCGATTCAATAGCATCATGTAATGCTCTTAAATCGAACAGGCTGCGGATGTAAGCCTCAACATCTGCACCGGCATCATGAAGTTCAGATATCAATGTGTCCAATCGGGCAATCAAGATTTTTTTCCGCTCTTTCACTTGCTGCTTCGTTCGGGGGTCAGGGGTCTCCTCATCCACAACAAACATGAGTGAGACTGGGTAGAAAAGAAGTAGGATGAAACGTGTGAGCACCGACAATTTCAGAGAATTCCAAAGGAAAGACATCGTGTCGTGCGTCTGCCGCACAATAAATACTTAGTTAATGGTAATAAATTCCATGGCCGCACTGATCTACTGCAGCAAGATTCAAATTACGGAAGAAAAAGAATCAGATACAATTATTTCTACTTTCTAACTATTTGTTGTTCTTTGCCTGTCCGTGTGATGACGTCCTAAACAAGAGTGTACAGGTATCGCGTCAGGCCCGTGTGATCAAACACAACACACAAGTAAGTACGCAAACACCACACACAACAACAACAGGTAAGTATGCCAACAACAATCAGTTTGTTAGCAACCTTCGTCAGTCTGCTGTGTCTTCTTGATGTCTGTGCGATCACGCACTCTTCTTGACAGCTGGCACTACAGTTGTGTAGTCTATCCAGTCAGCTGTACCTCCGTCGTCTTCAGAGTGCACCTCTTACTCGGCAGTATCCTGCCTGCCACGTGTCATCCCTGGAGTGCCAACATAGCAATGTTGCCACGTCAGCACTCTGTCCAGTCTGTCAATAATGGGGTGCCACGTCAGCAAATGTGTAGTCCGATCAGGGCTTCCCTTTCCAGAACAAACATATGCTGAAGGACCAGGGTTGATAAGTGCGGTAATAGGAGGTGTGAACACATTCAAAGTATACGTCTGTGACATATTCAGCAATCCAACTACATTACTGAGTCTTGGCCAAATTCTGATCAATCTTGCAAAGTTTCCCGAACCAGATGATAATTTGGCACGGCAGGGATGGGTCACCGAATCACCAACGACCAATCAGAATGGGACATATGATGCATATTATTCAGTTCAGACTGCAGGGCGATGGAAGGTGGAGATCCTTATGGATGGGAGGCTGATTAAGAGTGGGGCATTTTATGTCTATACCACAGGTCAGTGACATAAATATGCTGCAGAGTCTGCTTCTCATGCATTCCGACTCCTCGAGAGGACATTATGGATGCATTGTCTGTTCTTTTCTCCATTGCTCCTTATTACGGGTTTTTGGTGAAGCTGCATAAGACTGGTGTTGATGTAACAAACAAACAACAGCTCAGCTCTTGAGAGCCCTCACCAAAACCAGAAGCTATACAATTGTGGGCACAACACTGTTAAGCAGCTAATCATCTTTTAAATTTTAATAGAAAAATAAAATGGCTCATTATGTATGGGCTGTTGTGGCCACAACACAGCTAATCGTCTTTTACTCAAAAGGGGCGCATTATGTCTGAGCCAATCAGACAGCTATCACAAAATCAGATGCAAATCTGTAACAGTGGGAGTTTGGGCTGAATGCAGGGATGCATGTTGCTAAATCTTCATGACTTTGTGCCATACTTGCAACCGCACGAGCCGCACATTCGTGCGGAGTTCTGTACGGAGTTCCGTGCGGGGGGTGCCTGTGCAGAATCGTGCAGGTTTTTTATTTTTATTATTATTATTTATTTATTTATTGGGAGGGGGAACGGGGGGGCGTATGACAGGAAGATGGGGATATGGCATGGAGAGGGGGATATGGAGGGGAGGAGGAGGATGTGGACGAGGAGGACGACGAGGATAGCGAGGACGACGAGGAGGAGGAGTCGAGATGGACGGAGGGAAAAGAGGAAGGGCAGGAGGAGGAGGACGAGTGGGAGGAGAAGACATGGACGGCGAGAAAGGGGAGGACAAGAGGAAGGGAAGGAGACGAGGAGGCATGGAAGATGAGGAACTACGAGGAGGAGGAGGAGACAAGGAGGATAAGGAAGGGCAGGAGGAGGAGGACGGACAGGAGGAGGAGGACGGACAGGAGGAGGAACAGGAGGAGGAGGACGAACAGGAGGAGGAGGAGGAGGAGGAGGAGGAAGAGACGAAAAGGAGGAGGGAGGATGAGGAAGGGGAGGAGGAGCAAGGTGAGGCAGTACTCCTGTAATTTTTTTTTTCATCTTGCTTATAATTTTGGCGGGGCGCCTCAAACGCACCGTTTCGACCCCAGCCTTTTATTTTTTTTCTGAGGGGGGTGACGGGTCGTTCTCCGCACACGTCGTGCGCCGCACGGGATCGGTTGGGCACGTGCGCCGCACGTAGGGAACCGCCCGCACGACGTGCGCTTGCATGTATGCTTTGTGCACCTATTATCCTCTCTTTATGTGACGTGTAATAACCCTGTTCAGAAGTAGCCTGGGGCCCAGAACTCAGCCCCAGGCCACGCAGACCTGAGAAGGTCTGCGCTGGGCTGTGTGACCAAGACACGCCCAGGCCTGAGTCTGTCGAGTGTGGCTGTGTGACCGAACACTGCACACAGGAAATTCAAGAGTCAAAGTCAACTGTAGAGTCAAAGGTACCGCACCCAGGCCCTGGGATGGATACACTCACTTGTTGTACGCAGGTACCCAGACAGCATCAGGCCGGAGGGAATTCGGTTTCAGGCCGATCTGAGCCCTCATTCGCATCGAGATCTGGACGGCCGAGGGATACAGCATCCGGGGTCCGGACCCCGTGTCAACGCTACATAAGAGTTGACTTCCTGGCTTTGATTCATTCATTCTGTCTTGCGTTGATGCTGACTTCACGCGTTGACTTCAACACTGGCTCGACGCTGCTGGCATTGTGACTTGGCGAGGCGCTGCTAGTCCGGCATGGTGGCCGGCTTGCTCCTGTCTTCTTGGCATGCTGGCGTGGCAGCTGCCATGCGCCTTCGCTGATGTGGCTGCTGCCACGTGTTCTGAGACTAGGACTACGTAATCGGCATTGCTGTTCTACTTCATCGTTGCTTCAGGAGGAGATCAGGACTGTGGAGAGTTTGAGGATACGTACCTGATGGTCTTCATGTCGACATTGCTCCAGATGCTGATGTGGAACTGATTAGACGTGCCACTTGGCACATTGAGGATACTCGGATACTCGTTCAGACTATTGATTGTTGAGGTGGCAGTAGAGGAGGGAGCCCGAAGCAGGAGTGGGCATTTTACTTCCTCTCCTTCATCTCTTCTCCCTCTCCTCTCTTCGTCTGTGTATGATTACCTCACCTCATTCTGTCTGGTTACGATTTGGACTATGATTAATCCTCAGCCGATGGACATTTATCTGGACTTGCATTGTTGACAAATGTCTCACAATTTGGGTTCATTGCAATTTGGTATCGGAGCTAATCTCCTAACGACGACATTTGTATGTAGGTAAGCGCCAGGTGGCGCACAGGTAAGTAAGGTTGAGTAGGTGACGACGTGGCAAGGTATACGGTAGGGGTGATGGTGTGGCACATACCTTTCTCGCGAGGATACACTGCCGGGGTTGTTGACGAATCACTGGCGAGAAGACATTACCGGGGCTGCTGACGAGGTACATGCTTCATTGGCAGGAAGAGATCCCTACCAGGCTGCTGACGTGGCAGTAGGGACTGCGATTGGAGATATTGCACACCAGCCTGGAACGCGATCGTGATGTGGCATCGCGATCCCCTGCTGACTTGGCATGTGTTGTGCAACGTCTGAAGACCTTGTTGCTGATGCTGACGTGGCACTTCTTGTGCTGCTGACATGCGACAGGGTCTACTACAGATGCTGGCGTGGCCTGGAGGAGAAAAGATTGATTGCTGACGTGGCCGGAGCAGGTCATCACACCTGTCTCATGAGGTGGTGTCTGCCTGCTGACATGGCATTGAACTCCTTGGCTGACGTGGCATAATCTGACTGGCTGGAACGGCGAGGGTATCTCACTTTACGTTTGGAAGAGGCAACCAGAACAGATACCATGAGACGAGTTTCAGTCAATACACCCTTAACTTCTTGCTCTTAGCTGCAATACTAGTCAAGCATTAAGCAAATACTCTGAAGATAGCAGCACAGGCACATAGACAATGAACCTTTGCTAGGTCATTACAGAGGGGCAGAAACCTCCTCAGTGCTGTTGACAGTGTGCCTCTGGTTAGCCTTTCCAACAATGTACAGAAACATGCCAGCCAATCAGCAGGACAATGCTTCTATGATGCATCTAGTTTCTTGTTGTGTCCAGCAACCCACCAAATGGCCCACCAAAACCTCCTATGATTAGGGCCCCGCTTGCTTTGTCTTATTCCTGGAGTCTCTGGCGAAACATGAAGAACACTTTCCAACACAGGGACATTGCATTCAAGTCGCTGGGAAAGGTTTCCGGCAACTTTCCGCTTTCGAAGGAATGAATAAATAAATCCTGAATGAGATCAGTCGGCACCTAATAAAAACGTGGCATTCCTGTGTGACAACGACATATTGCTCCATGATGGCAAAACTGACATTTCGTTAAACCACCGGTACTTTCGAGGCACTTTTCTCCGGGGCTGGAAACCCCCTGCGCGCAAAAAAAAAGGAACCGGCACGAGCCTCTTTTGGGCTGGCGCCACCAGCCACTTTGCTTTGGAGGCCAAGCCCCGAAAGTTGCGGCTGTATGCAAGGTGCATATTTTATTCTTTGTCTGGGAAACATACCGGTGGTTTAAAGTTGAAAGACCTTTTCCGCGTGCCCAAACATTTCTTATTGTAATCTTATAAGGGACGCTGGGCCTGGTTCCCAGCACGTGTCACTCCGCACGGGTAGATCGGAGCTGTTTAAAAAAGAGGTAAGTAGGTCCATGTCACATTTGAGTATCGAATGAGCAAAAAAAACACGTGCTGGCAAAAAAAAATGCGCCGAATTCGAAAAGGCAACGAAAGTACTGACGGCCGTGGTGTCAGGCCGGGTGTCATATTTACGAGGGTCGGCCGTGGTGTCAGAGGGGGAAACAAAAATATATATATAATGCCCAATGGATACTTTTGGACCGAAATTGAACGTTTCCAAGTCGCCCTGGTTTCTTTGCCCACACAAGTCTCTTTTGCCTTTGCGAACTGAAAACCTGCAGCATCCAATGTTGTTTCTAAAACAAAACACAAAATGAGATGCAAAATTTTCAACCTTTTTGGACAAAATTTCATCCGGTGAGAGGTCATGAGAAAGAGCATGTTACCATGGAAAGGTGTTCGGGTTTGATCATCCTCCCATTAGCATATATTAATTTGGTCGTAAAAAGTGACCAGGTGCACCCAATATAGTACCCTGGAGCATACCATCCAGAGCATACAGCATCCCTTGGACACTGTATGCTCATTCTCCGCTGCACATGGAAATCTAAAATTTGGCCGGAAAGGGTTAAATAAAAAGTCTCAATCTGGGCAGGGGAAAGAGATCTTTCAGATTTAACCAAATGTCTGTTGCAAGGTATTTACAGCTATGCCCTCGCCCTTGGACACTGCTATTTCTGACCAAGATGAAAAGGGCGTCACAAATGAATTCAACCAAGTTGAACTCCAAAAGCAGGGGCCATGCGGTGTCCACAATGGCACCGAAGCTAATGGTGGTTTAAACCATCAGTTTGGGAGAATCCTCCAATGGCCTCCATGGGCATAATTTCTTCTGTCTTGAACCAGGTGCATACACTGGTGCCATGGCGACAACGAAATTAGGCCTGCGGAGGACTGGACCAGCGGCTTACACTGTTCACTACATGCAACAGTCCAGTCTGCATTCATATTGACCAACGGCCACAACGAAATAAGTTCTGTGGCGGACTGGACGAGCGGCTTACGCTGTTTACTACATGCAACAGTCCAGTCTACATTCATATTGACCAAGCTTCTTTTTTTTTGTTAAACCACTAGTACCTCCAAGCCTGTTTTTGCCGACCCTGAATTTCACTGCGCTCCGAGTTTGCCGAGCCTGGGTACCACTCCATTTCTTTCTGGTACTCTCACGGAAAGAACAAAAAAAAAAAAAAGAAGGAGAAGAAAAGTTGCGCCGGTGAAATCAGAAAAGAAGTAAAAAAAAAAAGGAAACTAAGCTTTGGCCGCGATTGCAGTTGTATACATTCTTAGAAGTGGTAGTGTGAGTGTGCCCTCAGTGAGGGCGTCTCTGCCCCGTGGCCAGGTTGTCAGATTCGAAAAAGAGAATACAAGGATGTTCTTTTTGAAAAAAAAAAAAAAAAAAAAAAAAAAAAGGAAAGAAAAACGGGCACACGAATCCGACCGTGAAAATGGCTGGATACATTCCCCTAAGTGCCAGTGTGATGAGCATTACAGTCTGACAAAACACAGCTTGAGCAGATCACGGACAGCATGAGCAGATCACGGATTCCACCCTGCCTCGTTGGCAGGGGACTCATAAAAAACACACCACAAAAAAGAAAAAGAAACCAGTAACATTCAGAATGTGACCGCCTTACCTGTGAGGTGAATTCTGTGGAGGAAGGCTGTGAGCACTGCCTCCTGGACTACCCTGCCTGGCATCATTGCAGTAGACAAAGCATTTTATTTTTTTCCTTTTTCTTTCACTCGCGGGCACTATAAAAATCTGATTTATGGGACATTGCCGACCCTGTGTCCCACCCCCCAATTTCTTCGGGAACTGGCAAAACCTCGTAATTTCCCAACACTGTCGGAGGCACCTGCAATGAATTGCAGTTTCTCACACTAACTTTATTTATGGGCCCGTGGAGGGCTGTACACTAACTTCAGGGGTCGTAGGTCTTGGTGACTTCTGGAGGCAGAGGTCTAGGTCTAGAGGGAAAAGTAGAAGGAGGGCAGAGTCGAAGGGGAACTGGTTCGTTGGCAGTTCTTTGGGGGTTCTTTTGTGGAAGTCGATTGTCGGAAGGAGCTCCAGTAGACAACCAGTACTTGGCCCATACATTGGTCGCGAGCCGTTGTCGTTAACGGCCCACAACTTCCGGGCTTCGGGGCAGCTTCGGGATGGGTTGGGCATTGCTTTTTTGTGGGCGCGGCGTGGGGTTGGACTGATTCACCGACGGGCGTTTCGAGGTCTGTCCGTTGGACCAACCGTACTTGCAGATGTCGCTGGTTTGTCATGCGTGCCTGCCCCTTCGGATTTCAGGGCTTCCCTGTAACGTTAGCACTTTCTAGAATGTATCTGGCTGCACTTGTGGGCACAGTGGATGAATCTGAGGGCAATCACGTTCAGAGCTTGGTGTCCCGCTTCCCATTCGTGTTTTTTTCTTTTTTTCTTTTTTTAGGAAGAGCATCTCTGCTGCTTGTGCTTCCACTCCCCGTGAGAGACGGGGAGCATTCAATGTGTGCCAACCGTTTCAATTCCAGGGCTTCACTGTGACGTAGCACTTTCCAGAATGTATCTGGCTGCACCTCGCTGCAGCAGAGGATGAAAAGGATGTTTTCTTTTGCTCTCCCATTGGTAGGTTTTCCTTCCGTTTTTGTTTTTGGGGTCCTGTGGCTGTCCCAAACGTGCGTGAAATCACAGCCAATTTTTTTGGTTCGTGAAATCACACACGTTTCACTCACGGCGAAAGCAAAGACGAATGGCTTCATCGCTGGAAATTGATTGTGGTTTGGGAGGTGTTTGTGAGGGTTCGATCTGCTCACCTACAGCAAATGGTGTATGGAGTTACTCTTGCCCTCCTTCGCCAAAGAGAATTTCTGTCCGAACAACGGAACAGCGTGCACTGCGGCCTATTTCAAGGAAACCTCAGACTATTGTCAATGAATATGGTCCGTGTGCCCACTCACATGCAGTCGTCTTGACTGCCACAGCCATGGTCAGTGAATCATACCCTGACATCTGACACCCCGCCTGGAGCAGACACCATCTGTGAGAAGAGCACTTTCTTTTCCTTTTTCGCAGTTTTTTCTTCATTTGTTTGGTCATGAAATGTATTTTTGCGTTTATTTTCCCTATTTCACGCTGCCACCCACCTGTCCCCCACCCGTCCCACACCCGTCACACTAATCCACATACATGGCTAGTGGGATCTCCCTCCTGGTATCATTTTTGAAATGATTTTTCCCCTTTTTTTTTTCCTTTTTTTTCTTCCCGTGAGCATTCAATGTGTGCCAACCGTTATAATTCCAGGGCTTCACTGTGACGTAGCACTTTACTGAATGTACCTGGCTGCACCTCGCTGCAGCAGAGGATGTATCTGAGGGAAATCACGTTCAGAGCTTGGTATCTCTTTTCCCCTTTGTTTTTTTTTTTGGTTTTTTCCCGGAAGCGGTATGTCGGCTGTTCGTGCTTCTGCTCCCCTTGAGAGACGGGGAGCATTCAATGCGTGCCAACTGTTTCATTTCCAGGGTTTCATTGTGACATAGCACTCTCCAGAATGTATCTGGATGCAGTTCGCTACAGCAGAGGATGTATCTGAGGGCAATCACATTCAGAGCTTGGTACCTCTTTTCCCTTTTGTTTTTTTTTGTTTTTTTTTTTCCTTTCGAAAATTCTCGGTTATTTGTGCTTTGGCTCCCCGCGAGAGGCGGGGAGCATTCAATACCTGCCAGCAAGATCTTTCCAGTACACGAGCGGAAACAAGAAAATCATTGCCTCTTTACATTCCAGCTGCTGGCAGCAGGTCCAGAATAAGGGCCGGTACCTGTGCCAAGCAACAAATGTCCCATGTTGGTTCCCGCCCCCTGCAGGCTCAGCAAAAATCAGCGTGCAGGGCATATTCAGGCTCGGCTTCAATAGCTGGGCCAAGTACTGGTGGTTTAATTTTGAGCACTATTTTCAGAGCTTGAGCTTCTTCTTCTTCTTGGTACCAAGGCAGCCATAGCTGGGGTGTTACATGCCCAGCTGGGCGATGTACATAGAAACCGAGGATCCCCAATGTGATGAAAAGGACTGAATGGACAATGCAGTGCAAGTAGGATCTCAACAAGCAATGTGCAT